ACACTGCCTCAGTGATTGTACAGGGAGATTTTCATTGATGTGCATCTTTTGACAGCTTCTTCCATTTTTTTCTGCAGGGTCTGCAAGGTCCAAGGGTGAGTATTTGCCATCATTTTTTTATTACTACTCTCTTTTATTTAAAATGCCTGGCTTTAGCAAATAAAAAGCTGCAGAGCAGGTAATGCTGCATACAGGGAAAGTAGTTAAGTACCTGAAGGTTTGGCAGGAATGTTAGTTAGGGAACCATAGGAGTAGGAATAAGGGAGTAGGAATGGAAGCAGGTGCAGACAAATGCACTAAAATAGGGAGAGAGCAACCAGGGCGATCGCTTGTCTCCAGAAGGAAGATGCTGTAAAATCTCCCTTCTCTTTGAGAAGAGACAATGCTGTAAAATGTCAAAAATCTGGAGGATTTCAGCAAGGAACAGACTCATTTTTGTGACAGCCGTGATAAACAGAAACACAAACTGGAGACATTTCACTAACTGATGCTACTCTGTCCTTTAGGGTCCTCCAGGCCCACGAGGACACCCTGGCCCTCCGGTACGTATACGTGGCAAGAGTTCAAAGACTTTATTGAGATGAGCTAAAATTATTGCAGTGATACTCTCCGGGGAGACTGCCCCCTCACTGGAAATTATAGGTTATCCCCATTCCTCATATGCAAAAACGTGTGTGTGAATGGACTAGTGTTTATTGCGCTTTACTACAAACCATCTCCAAGTATTTTATAGAGACAGCATTGTTGCCGCTCTCACTAGTCTGCATTGAGGGACTCCAGAGGAAAAAGCATTTCCAAGGGACATGAGAGACTATCTTTGCAATAGCAATTGCCCAGCTTTCTGGCTGATGCCCCCTTTTTTTTTTTGCTCTGCTTTCTAGGGTCCGCCAGGAATTCCAGCGTCATTTGTAAGTTGCTGTTTTCTGTACATTTACTAACGATGCTAATGGCACACAGAGCCAAGACGCCGCTAGGACATGGGGAAAAGCTTACTGGGACCCTAAAGGCCCACTTAAGCCCAACAAGGGATGCTGCATTAGCAGAGCCACACTTGAACGGCCCCCACGGCCCCACACAGAGAAGCATTTGCTTCCCTCGGGCAGTGCTCAGCTTCTAACAGTCACACTCGGTGTGTTTTTCACCCCCACTAGCAACAAGATGGCTTTGGAGCAGCTTTCCGGTCACTGCTGGACTCGAACGCGGCGCTCAAGGCAGAGGTACGAGGGGGCTGTTGAACTCGGTGGCTTTCACTGCAGCTGGAGGCTGGGAGCGCTCACGGTCGTGGTTGCTCTGTCTCTGTTCAAGCCCTGTATAGACGAAGCTCTGCCTTGCCTTGCATTCTCATGGAATAACTGGGGTTTATGCATGCAAAGATCCAGGACATGGCTTCACTGTTAAAGGACATGTTTTCGTTGTGTGAATTGTTTGTGACACTTCCAACTTAGTGTCTTTCCAAGCAGTTCAGAGATCCCCCCACTGAGGGCAAAACGAGAGCAGCTGGTGCACTGCTCAAATCGAGTATTGCCAGTCTTCGGCCCACTGAGTTGTCCCCTCTTTAAAGCAGAAACCCTTGTGTTTGCAGCACTCCTTGTGTTTGCAGCACCCCCTCAGCCCTCCTAAGGCCTCTCTCCCCTAACTGCACATCCTGTTCTCTCCAGGGTTACCAACATCCAGAACTTGTGATGCTGGACCATGGAGGGGAGATCTTCAAGACTCTACACTACCTCAGCAACCTCATTCAGAGCATCAAAAGACCCCTGGGAACTAAGGAGAACCCTGCACGCATCTGTCGAGACCTCATGAACTGTGAACAGAAGATGAACGATGGTAGGAAGCCCTACATGTGCAAAGGCCACAGCCTTCCATAGGGCCATTTAGCATCATTCAACCCGGTCTCCCAGCTTGGGATCAGAGATGCATTAGGTGGGTGCTATGCACAGGAAAGGCTAAGAGTTCTTGCTAATCTCCCAATCCTCCATTTCCCCAGGTACCTACTGGATTGACCCAAATCTTGGCTGTTCCTCGGACACCATACAGGTCATCTGTAACTTCACCAACGGTGGGCAGACGTGTCTCAGTCCCATCACTGTCTCCAAGGTACACCCAGACCTGAACTAGCATGGTATTTCCCATACCACTATCACTATTTTATAAGATTTATTAATAAAACAGGTATGTTATCCCACAGTACCAGACAGGGACCACTATAACCATACACCCTCTATAAGAGAACACACTGGTTTATGCTTGAGGTGGAGTTTCTGCAGTTGGACTTGTTACATTCAGGACTGCTCTCATGCAGTTAAAAAATACTGACTCTTGCCAAGACAAAGCAGTCCATTTTCAACAATGTTTAATTAACCCATAACCTTAATAGAGGCCAGTAATTTTGCAAACATGTTGCTCCCAAATGCATTGTTGATTTGATTTATGTTCAGGTCACTCCTGTGTTTTGTCTTCTACTGAAAAATTGAGGTCAGGTTTAAATATACAACCTTCTGCTGAAATGAATGCTGCAGGAGTTCTCTGGAATAGCCTTTCAATGTCTCTTGCGGAAGCACCTGTACCAAAAAGCACCAGTACAATACCTGGTTTGACCTGCAGTCCCCACTAGACCCTGTTGCTTTGCTTCTTTGCAGAAACAAGGTTTGAATTTGAGCTTCATATTAATCTTCTCCTACTTAAGACCTCCCACTTTCTTCTGAAAAGAAAATCTGAAAAAGAAATTTGGAAAATTTTCCAAATTGACTTTGCATCTGTCCCTTTTGCCTGTACTCAGACCAGAACTGGCTTTGGCTCTGCCATCCCTGTGCAGCCACCTGCAGACTCGAGCAGAGGACAGGGAATGTTTTTGCTGCCACTTCTTGCACTAGCTGTACCAATATCTCCCTCCGCACCTTCGGGGGAAGTATGAGCTAACGTGTCTGTTACCTTCACAGCTGGATTTCGACATTGGTAGAGTCCAGATGAACTTCCTTCGACTTCTGAGCTCCGAGGTGGTCCAGCACATAACCATCCACTGCCTGAACACCTCCGTGTGGCGGGAAGGTTTGTCCGAAAAACCTTCAGAAAAAGCCGTGCGCTTCAAGGCCTGGAACGGACAGATGTTTGAGGCAGGAGGGCAGCTCAAGCCAGAAGTGGCAGCTGATGATTGCAAGGTACGTTGCCCTGGGAGGGAGGCACCTTTACGGTTCAAACCACTTGGTGCACAAAAGGCTCAAGTTAGGTCTATGCTTCTTGCTGCATGACCACTGCCAAACAAAAAAAGTGGGAGAGACTAGTTTACCTGTTCACAAACATTAATTTTGTAGTCCAGCATGAAGAAGATTGTCTTCAAATAGAAAAATACCCCTAAACTTGTCATGCACACCACCAGTGAAATGACGGAAGTGGGGATCAGCACTAAAGGGCACATCGGCCCTTGCCTGGGGTCCTGCCATGTTAGGGACAGCATGTTTGTGTTTTGGGTTCGCTGCATTAGGTGGTTGACATTTTGTGAGGCTGTTTCGAGTTCAGTTCTGCCAGGCTGAAGCAGATAAAGAGCCCCCAGAAATGCTTTGTGCACCTCGCTCCAGACCTGCTCTGCCCCAGGGGACAGGGGCAGCACGGGGCTTTCCAAGCTCATGCCCTAGTGAAACGTCTTCCTCTCCAGCAAGATCCTTTCCTCAGTTAATCTTTTTTTTTTTCCTCTCACTCCTTCCCTGCATAGATCAAGGACGGACGCTGGCATCGGACCCTCTTTTCGTTTCGGACGCAGGACCCTCACCAGCTGCCCATCGTCAACATCTACAACCTTCCCCCATCCGAGCCAGGAAAGCAGTATCACCTCGAGGTCGGCCCCGTGTGCTTCCTTTGAACAAAGCCATCAAAACTGGGCTCCAAGGCTTCGCCCCCCGTTTCTGGCCTACGTTTTTACACAGGGTCTCCCACCTCTGCGCGGTGAGGACAGCTGGGCTGCACCGCTGGGACCAGCTGTCGCTCCAGCCACTGGCTCCAGGTCTCAAAGAACCCGTGATCTACTGAACTCAGCAGATTCTTGAAAGGAGGAATAACAAGGCCGGAGGGGAAGCGGGTGTCAGTCGGGACGTGAACAGCAAAAAGGGATTGGGAGAACTAGATGTTGCAAGCAGCTCCACACACAAAGCTTTTTCCATGACCAAAGAAGAAAATATTGAGAGAAACCTCAAGAAACTTGCAGCGTGCGTTGTTGGGTTTTGTTTTGTTTTTTTCCTCCATTTTGTCTTACCTGGTTCCTGAGTTACCAAATGTTCTTTCCCTTGAGAAGTAATTAAATGGTAGAGCTTCCCTCTCAGAGCTTGTCGCCTTCTGGACGGCCACATGCTGCATCAGGCTCTCCCAGGCGGAGCTGCACGTTGAATCTGGCTGCTCTGTGTGCCGGAAGCATTTTGATGTGCAATATTAGAAGAAACAAAAAATATATATATTATATTATTTAAAGCAAAAAGAAAAAAAAAGAACAAAAAAAAAAAAACTAAGTTCCTCCTTCCATGGGTGAGTTAATAAATGTCCCTTCTCAAGCGTGGTGTTAGGGTACGGAGGAGCCCCAAAGCTGAAAGGGGGGAATGGAAGGAGGAGAGGGGAAAGAGATTGGTGCTAAAATAGAGAGAGCGAGAGGATGGGCTCGTCTGATTTGTTTCTACCTCTCACTGTGAAATCTCTGGTGCTCTTAAAAAAAAAAAAAAAGTGTGTTATTTTATATATATGACTTTAAACTATTTAAGGTTGTGAAGGTGCTACAATGTCTTGCCACAGACCCAAAAAACCCATAGGACCATCTCTCGGGGAAGAGAGGAGGTTGTGATCACAGCTAAATCAGAGGAAGAGTCACCTTTAAAGGGATCCTTTAGTTGCTGTAGATGTCAGCGATGCACAACAGCTCGGTGCGTCCAAAATCACTTGCCAGCTGTGTTTAAAAGCAAATACTGCTATTTAAAAAAAAGAAAAAAAAAGAAAAAAAAAAGGCACTTCACTGCTTTGGAGAGGAGTGAGGGATACAGCTCATCCGCAGACGCTGTAAGCATTAAGCCTCAGAGAGGGCCCGGGTTCGAGGCGGTCGTTACGTAACTGGTTTTGCTGTATTTGCGCTGGCCGCGTGGCCGGGCCGGCTCTCGCGCGCAGTGATTTCCTGGGCTAATCTCGTATTTAAAACCCCAGCTCTGCCGCCCTTTAGTCTGGCCCCCTCTGTCAAGACTGAAATGATGGTACCTTGTTTCAGAACCCAGCCGGGCTTGGAGGGGTTTTGTTTTGTTAAGTTTTGTAGAAATCTAGTCTCTATATGTAAATTTGGAGGATTTTTTTTTAAAGAGGATAATTATGGTAATCTTTAATTCTATATAAGGAATAATATTGATGTAATCGGAGCTGTACTGTATCAGAAATGCTTCAGCGCCTGTTTGGAGTTTTCATGTCTCGTATGGACTATGGATTTTATTTTTTTGAGGAAAAAAAAAATATATCTATGTGAGTCTCTCTTTGCGTCTTCTTTTCACTTCTGCCTGCTGGTTTGTTGGGTTTTTTTTTTAAAAAAAAAAAAAAAAA